CACACACACACACACACACACACACACACACACACACACACACACACACTTCCTCCCACACTGTCACAAAACTAATCCAATTTTTACTCTCTCACTCACTCACTCCTACTCAGAGAGCCATGCATACACTTCAGCTATGCCTGCCCCTCCCACTCTTAACCACCCCTCCCACTCGCTCTCTCACGTACACACACGTTCCAACTTGTTGCCCTGTCGCCATGGCGACAAGACTCAGACGTAGGATCATGAAGCACCACAATTGACACGGTGCATCCTGCTACGTAAGACGAACACGGAAACTGGTTTACAAGCAGGACACCTCTGGCATGTTATGCGCAAACACACGTGCGCACGCACACACATACAGAACATTATATTTTGGTGTCACGGCTGGTGGTGTAACAGTTTCAGGACAGTCGTTGTTTTTGCAGGAACTTATTAAGAGTACAGTGGCTTAATATGAACTTTCATTGTTGAATACTTTAATATTTATAATTTGAATGCAAAACTACTCAGACCCAGAAATTTAATATTTGACTTGGTCTAATCTTCCCGTTGAGCGTAACGAGAAAAGACATCAGATCTGTTGACGACTGATTAATCTCACATTGTGTTCCTCGTTCATTTTTCTGTTCCTCTGTCTCCACTGGACTCCCCAGATGATGGGAAAGACAGACGGCGACAACTACACGCTGGATGACATGTTTGTGTCAAGTGCAGCTCAACGGGAGGGTGAGGGGAGAGAGGAGGAGAGGATGAGGAGCAGAGCCGTCGCTGAGAGTAGGAGGCTGGCTGCCTCCATGGATAAATGCCAGCACTGTTTCAGCAGCCAGGAGCTTCAGAAGCATCTGATAGTGGCCATAGGCAGCAAAGTAAGAGCATGGCTAATCCACAAAAAGGGTTAAAAAACAAAAACACCAGAGGATGATTATTGTTGGCTGTTTTCACAAGGAAGCTGTGAGTTTGCAAGTTTTTATCAAGCTGTGATGCAAGCTTTTTTTATTTTCTGGCTTGCAATAATGTGTGATTTTTAGCTTCCTCCCCACTTTTACTTCATCAGATTCTTTTATTAATTTGATTGTTTGAGATATGAAATGTTAAAAAGAAATGGCTTAAGTGTTTGGTTTCTTTACATATTTAAGTAATATTTTTTATATTTGGCAAAATAAATTTAATCTAGTTTCATTATTCTTGAAATTATTTTTGGTGGAATTAAGAATATTAATCTGATGAAACCAAACACTTAAGCCATTTCTTTTTAACATTTCATATCTCAAACAATCAAATTAATAAAAGAATCTGATGAAGTAAAAGTGGGGAGGAAGCTAAAAATCACACATTATTGCAAGCCAGAAAATAAAAAAAGCTTGCATCACAGCTTGATAAAAACTTGCAAACTCACAGCTTCCTTGTGAAAACAGCCAACAATAATCATCCTCTGGTGTTTTTGTTTTTTAACCCTTTTTGTGGATTAGCCATGCTCTTACTTTGCTGCCTATGGCCACTATCAGATGCTTCTGAAGCTCCTGGCTGCTGAAACAGTGCTGGCATTTATCCATGGAGGCAGCCAGCCTCCTACTCTCAGCGACGGCTCTGCTCCTCATCCTCTCCTCCTCTCTCCCCTCACCCTCCCGTTGAGCTGCACTTGACACAAACATGTCATCCAGCGTGTAGTTGTCGCCGTCTGTCTTTCCCATCATCTGGGGAGTCCAGTGGAGACAGAGGAACAGAAAAATGAACGAGGAACACAATGTGAGATTAATCAGTCGTCAACAGATCTGGTGTCTTTTCTCGTTACGCTCAACGGGAAGATTAGACCAAGTCAAATATTAAATTTCTGGGTCTGAGTAGTTTTGCATTCAAATTATAAATATTAAAGTATTCAACAATGAAAGTTCATATTAAGCCACTGTACTCTTAATAAGTTCCTGCAAAAACAACGACTGTCCTGAAACTGTTACACCACCAGCCGTGACACCAAAATATAATGTTCTGTATGTGTGTGCGTGCGCACGTGTGTTTGCGCATAACATGCCAGAGGTGTCCTGCTTGTAAACCAGTTTCCGTGTTCGTCTTACGTAGCAGGATGCACCGTGTCAATTGTGGTGCTTCATGATCCTACGTCTGAGTCTTGTCGCCATGGCGACAGGGCAACAAGTTGGAACGTGTGTGTACGTGAGAGAGCGAGTGGGAGGGGCAGGCATAGCTGAAGTGTATGCATGGCTCTCTGAGTAGGAGTGAGTGAGTGAGAGAGTAAAAATTGGATTAGTTTTGTGACAGTGTGGGAGGAAGTGTGTGTGTGTGTGTGTGTGTGTGTGTGTGTGTGTGTGTGTGTGTGTGTGAGTGAGTGAGTGAGTGAGTGTAAGAGAGAGCGTGAGAGCTAGAGAGAGTATAATTGAACAGTTCCACATATTTAGCTAAAAGCACAGAGTGATTTTCCACACAAATGCCATCACAGGCTTCATGTAATGTTTGCAGACTAACGAGACTTTACAGGTTAGCATGCATCTTCAGCTCCATCAGCTTCTACTGCTAATGTGTCACTGGTTTGACAGAACTCCTACAATGATGCATTTAAAATGTACGATGCAAAAAGTAGAGGGGAAGAGAACAACTTTTCTGATCCGACGCCCGTGTTCTGATGTCCATTATCTCTGTCAAAAGCAAGTCCACAAACTAACTAACACCTGGGGTTAGATTGTGTGCAGGCGTGTTTGTTTTTACTGTGTGCATTTACATAAAGTAAAATGAGCAAAGAAACAACAAAGTGTATAGTGTAAGAGGGAGTCTGTGGAAAAGATATGAACAGATGAGCCCAGGAAGTGCTTTTAACTTTATGAATATTTGTGTTGCTTGGAGGGAAAACACTTGACTGCCTTACATAACTGCTTACAAATAAAAATATAACATTTTTCCACAATACTTATTTATATATTTATAACTGATTTGACTTATTTCTTTAATTTTATTTAGTTATTTTGGCTTCACGCTCAGGGAAGAGTATCATTAACTCTTCACCATGGTTTACTTATTTATACACACTCTTCCACTTGGGTGGTTCCCCTTCACCTCGAACTCAGGTCCTCTACTAGAAGCCTGGGAGTTTGAGGGTTCTCGTCACTCTTCCTAGGATTGTGCTCTTCTGGACAGAGGTCTCTGGAGCCACTCTTCCAGTTTGGGGGTCACAGCACCAAGTGATCCAATGACCATGGGACTACCGATGCTTTTGCTGTGTTGCCATTGGTCAGTGCGCCTCCACTCGGCTCTTCTCTTCTCTGTCCTCAGGTGGAGGTGACTCGTTTCTCCGCTCTGTGGGCGGGAACATAACTTTTTTAATGTTCGAGCCACTCCAGCCATTGTGTTCCTTCATTACCCTTTAATTAAACTTGAATGTCTTTAGCTTATCTCTGCACTGCTTACAAGTCCGGGTGTCTCTATATATCCTCCGATATCTCTTGGAAAATGTGTTAATTTCTTGTGGTGCCGTCCATCAACACAATGAGGAAGTGGAGGTGATGAGAGTTGAAACTGTGGCAAAGCGCCATTTGACTCTCCACGACTTCTCTCCTCCTCCCTTGGTATTTCACCAGCGTCTCGTGCTCCTTCTTTCTGATGCTACAGTCACTTGGGATTGCTGCCTTCTTCTGTAGCTTGTCCACCACCACAATGTCTGGTTGGTTGGCCATCACCTGCTCCTCACTGTCTGCTTGAACCAAAAACTATCGCCCTTGAGCAAGTTCTGGGGGTAAATCTTGACCCAAAGGGACACCTTACCTTTGAAGCCATGCGTGAGTAAAGAGAATTCTGATCTTGGGCAGAGCTCATCTTCTCCCTCCTCACCATCTCCTGCAGACCAACATTATCATCATTCTGGAAGTAACGAACACGCTGCCCGTCAACGTGGGTCTCAATCTAAAAGGAGAGGTTACAACAGAGGGGCCGAGAGAAAAGGTTAGTGGAAAACTGCCAACACACAAATTATTTATAAAATACACGAAAAATGAAAACAATAAGAAAAGAAATAGATAAGGAGTTTGGGACATTAAGAAAGATAATCTCTAGAGAAAACATCTTAGTTAACTCCATCTTAGATATGGGTGATGCCCCTGATCACATATGCTATAAACAAATAGAAGACCATGAACTTATTGGCTCCTCATATAATAATAATTAATAATACAATAATAAATAATACAATAAATACATACAAAGAGTGTTGAGTATCTTGATAAGATAGAAAGGTGCAATATAAGTACTGTCCATTAACATCAGTCCTACAACAGCAGACCTTTTCATCTGTGGGATTCTGACCCCCCCTGTCATTTTCCCCCACTCTCCTACTCTAACCATCCACTATCTCTTGTTCTTTTTACCGCTTTCTTCTTCCGTCGTCCTCCATGGGGCTCCTGAGGTCCCGAGGGACCCTTGACTGGCCAGGCCCGACCTGAATGATCCGTTCTGAACAGCAAGACCTCCTGATCCTCACTGGAGCGACCAGCTCCCTGAAAAACAAAAAATATCTGAGGTTGTACATAGGGCTGTCGACGTTAACGCGTTAATGCATGCGATAAATCTAAAAAGATCAACTCGTTAATATTACATAATACAGATTAATCCATTACTACACTGTTTACCAATGTTCCCTCTTAAGCTGCGTGCGTGCATGCGCAATCACGCACTGCTCGCACATTCTCTGCGCACAAGGAGAGCGCAGCAGTCTCTACAACCAAGTGGAGGAAGAAGGCCCCACCCCCGGTCAGACAGACCTGTGTCATGTGATTTGTGTAGCGACAACAGAATTTTTAAAGAGAACAATTCAACCAATGCAAAGACCGGTGAACTTTCATTCCAGCCAGTCAGCGTCTTCTAGAGTTTTGACGCTACGTGTGAAGAAGCTAAGTAGCTACAAACCTCCT